GCACCCCGCGTGGCACTTTCCTTGCACAGCTGGGGTGATAAACTGCATTTTCTGGCCTTGGTCCTGCAAAGATTTATGCACGTGCTTAAGTTTTATGGTTCTTATGTTCTATCCCCTCGGTGGCCTCCAGCCAGCACCCCGCGTGGCACTTTCCTTGCACAGCTGGGGTGATAAACTGCATTTTCTGGCCTTGGTCCTGCAAAGATTTATGCACGTGCTTAAGTTTTATGGTTCTTATGTTCTATCCCCTCGGTGGCCTCCAGCCAACTGCTTCCCGACGGTCTGACCGCCAGCGTGCGGCTCACGGATTTCAGGGCGGTTTGTTTAACCCGACCCAGGCACACGGCGTGGAGGACAGCAGGCTGCGGGCACCAAACCTCATGGCAGTCATCAAAAGGACAAAGCTGGAGGAACATCAAAGCAGGATGTTCTCCAGTGTTGGGGCAGAACCAGCCTGGGAGGCACCAGCAGCAGCAGGAGCTGAGCAGGTGCCCCAAGGACCAGCCCATCTCGGGGTGGACACATCACACCAACTCATGTCCCCAGCATGGGGACACTGGGGACAAGGGGGGACCCTTGGCTCTGTTTCATCCTCATGAGGAGTCCTGCTCCACGGCAGCACTCCGGCGTGCAGGGGGATGGAGCAGCCCCCGCCACGAAAACACCCCCTGCCCCTTCCATCCACTGGCCCAGCATCACCACAGGGACCGAAGCATCTGCCTGGTTTTTGCTGCTTGCAAGGGCAGGAGCAGCCGCCGCGCGGCACCGCGGGCACTGAAACCCATCTCATCCCATTAGCACATCTCCCTGCACGCAGAGCGGGCGCTGCAAAGCCCAAATGATGCTCTAATCCGGGCTGGGCAGAGGTCTGCTGGTGCTGGAGGCTTGCCCAACAGCTCCACCAGCCACGGCCAGGGCCTCCTCCTCGCTGGAGAGAGCCCCTGCCTCTCATCATCTCTCTCCACCCCGCCAGGCTGCAGCAGACAGACCTCGGCTCCAGAGCACGGGTGTGTTTGAGGGGGGCGAGCTCCCTGGGGAGCAAAAAAACAACTCAGAGACTCCTGATGTTTTTCCATAGGGGCAGCAAAGGCTTTGCCATGGGGCAAGGTCTCTGGCTGGGTTTTGCCAGCAGTGGGGACAGCAGACAGGGCTAAGGCTCAGCTGGCAAGTGGCCAGGAATGGGAAACAGGAAAAAGCAAAGGCTTCCCATGGAACAGGGCAATCTGGAGGTGCTGGAAATCCTGCTGGTCGCAACGCGGCAGGGAGGCAGCCAGAGCATGCCTGTCACTGCTGCTAACAGAGCACCAGGCTGTGCTAGATGTCCCCAGTGTGGCCAAAGGGCCACAAAAACGCTTCTGTCCCTGCCCTGGGAGGTGCGGGGTTTCACCAGGGTCTCCTGCTCCAGAGCCAGCACATGGAGAAGCCTCCCCCAGCACCGCAGCACCCCCCAGGGCCACAGCAGGACCATCCCTGGTCTCCATGGCTCCTGTGCTGGCACCATGGATGGCTTGGGGAGGTGACAAGAGGAGACTGGTACATATGAAAATGGACAGAAGCAGGTGAGATGCCACCAAGCCATTGGTGAGGTGCCACCAAGACGGTTTCATTTCACGAACCCGGCTCTGGGTGACAGAGCTGGAAAAACAACAGAGCAAATACAACAGGAGATTCAAATGTTCTACCTCCTCTGCTCAGAAAACATCAGAGGAGGTGCAGGAGCTGGTGAAACTCCCCGGCACTGGAGGAGCTTTTGCATCAGCAGGAGAAGGGACCAGGCTGGAAAAGAGATCCCGCAGGTGACCACCTGAATCTCCTGAGATCCCTTCTGCTGGTGAAAGAGCCCCTGGCCAAGCCCAAAGGCTTATTTTCCTGCTTGCCTTCATCTCCATCCCTACCCTTCGGAATATCCTTCCACAGGGAATTGCCTTTAGGATGCAGCAGGGTGGATGTGGGAAGCACCAGCATCTCCCAAAGCAGCTCCCAAAGGAGCTCAGGGAAGGGCTGCTGAAGCCCTTGGAGGTGCTAATGAGGGTGATGGGTACGGCCAGGCTGTGCAGGGCGGGAGCGGGAGGCTGGGAACTGCCTTGGAAAGGCAACGGGAGCAGAAAGCGAAATGGGTGGAAAATGGGTGGAAATGAGGGAAAAAAACCACAGTGAGAGCAAGACAGGAGTGCAGAGCCCAGGAGGGACAGGACGGGGAAGTTGCACAGCAGCATCAGCCCAGCAGGAAGGAAAGAGCAGAATTGTGAAGGGAAAATAAACCTCACCAAAGCCGGGATCCAGCATTAAACCTGCCCCAGAAAACACGGCACCGGTGCAACGGCAGCACCAAGCAGGACCGACACGCTCCTGCACCCAGGTCACTTCGGGGCACTTTGTCCCAGCTGGCCACCACCACTTTGTCCCCTGTGCCTTGTCCCCACACACCCACACTGCACTGGGCAGGATCTGTGCATCCACCCCGGGAAGGTGGCTTCCACCTGAGCCAGGCTTTCTGCTTCTTCAGCCCCAGCATCTCTGCCCAGGCAGCTTCTCCTGCCCTCCCACCCCTGCCCAGCTCCTGCCTGGGGCATTCACCATCCTCTCCCCTTCCAAGCCACCTCCATGTCTCAAATCCTGCCCCTCAGAGAAGGGATTTGATGGAACAAGCAGGTAATTTTGCCAAACTGCTCTGTGGAGATAATCAAGGATCCCACAGGAGACACGGATCAGCACCTTCAAAGAGGCGACCAAATTACCAGGGGAGAGCGCGACGAGTCAGGCTCAATTTCTAGAAAGCACCTGATTCTGTGTCATACGTTCGGCAGCCGCCCAAAGCCAGAGCACATGGTGGTGGATGAGAAGAGGAGCCAATTGAATTGATGAAAAATTGGCTGGAGCGCAAGAGCACAAGGGAAGCTGCCGACCGGGAGGAGCGGGCACAGGCGGGAAGGCGGCAGCGCGTCCTCGCAGCCTCAGAGGGAATTTTTTTCCCCACTTTGACCATAAGTAACGTCAGAAAGGGCTCTCCCCAGCGAGCCCCGAGCCAAAAGGGTTAATTGAATATCAATTCGGTCTCTGGGATGGAGTGCAGGATGGTTCAATGGGTGATCGACCCCCGGTGTGGGGACGGGCTGGGAGCCTCCCGGGCCGCAGGGAGCCCCGCGCACCCACGTGCTGCTCTGTTGGTGCTGCCACCGATTCATCTCCTGCTCGTGGTTTGCGGGCAGAGCTCTCCTCTGGCGTGCGGCAAAGTTCACTCTGGCAGCAGCCGCAGAGACAGAAGATAAGGCAAGCTCAGCCGGGCGGGATCTCCAGGTGATTTACAGCCCCGGCCAAATCCTTCAGCTACCGACGGGGTTCAGCCGCGGGTCTGCACCCAAAGCCCTCCCTGCTCGGAGGGTCCAGGACCTCGGATCACCCCAGCTGGGAGATTTCAAAGAATCAAACTCTGTCGCTGTGAACTGAGGTGGTTTTTCCCCACGTTTGCAGATGTCCAGATTTTAATTGTCCTTTTCATCGTTCACACCCCTCGACACACAGCCACCCCGGTGCTCCAGGGACACCCAGAGCTGAGCCCCGTTCCCGAGCTCCCACTCCCCGCTGCTGGGCTGCTAATTGAGATCTGGGAGCTGCCTCCTTAATTGAACAATAATCCTCATTTTTCACTTCTGCTGGGCAAGAGGAGCCGGCCGGGAGATGCCGGTGACTGTATATGGAAACACAACTCCACCAGCACCCGCAGCCAAAGCTGCTGGCCACGGGCCAGGCCGAGGTGCCACCACCACAGCGTCCTCCAA